GTACCTTTTTTTTTCTCCCATCCAACAGTTTGAAATTCCTTATTTTTTTGCCTTCATTGTGTAGAAATTTAGGTTTTTTTTTTTTTATAAATGCATCTCCATGTTTTATTTGTGTTAATGTTTTCATTTTCTAAACTTTCTGTATCTTTATCAAGGTAACATGGCAGCACACAGCGCTGTTCATATGCAAATCATTATTTTAAATGAAATATTGTAAATATGTTCAGATATTTTAGAAATATGTCTTGCCTGTAACCTGGTTTGTTCTCATGCAGTTTGTTTTTTTTGCCAAGTTTATGTGACACATCTCCCCTCTCTCACCACATTTTGTGCAGCTGTGCATGCAATAATTTATGCTCTGGATCCCATCGTAAGCAACCATACAAGTAATAGATGGTTCATAACAAGCTGGAAGAAAGCCGAGGTGTTGCTGTCTGACAAAGAAACACCTTTAGCCCAGTATGTGTTGTCTGTATGACTTCTACAGAACTGGCCCAATCTAATTGTGTAGAGATTGTGCTGTTGCTTTCAATAACAACTCTCCACACTGTCAGCATTTTAACGTGACAACCATCATTTTGCAGAGAGTAATATTAAAAGCTTATTGTACTCATGCCCAGAAACTACAAGGAGTCCAGTGTCTCCTTGTAGGAAAGACCTATTCTACATTAAGATGTTTTTCCCAAGGGTGTGCTGTTGTGTTTCTAAAAGTGTGGTTTCATAGTGACACTTTCTATGGTTCACAGAACTCAGCTGAACTCCACACTAGACATCCTAGTGGGGGTGCTAGACACTATAATGCCATCCAAATATCCTGTGTGCCATTCTTAGCAGGGGGTATAATAACCACTCTAGGTCAGCATTGTTCTGTTGTTACTATGCCTAAATACTACAGCATAAATTATTTAACTAATCTCCGTTCATGATCCACATAATTTTTATTTTGCATATCCCAATAAATGAAGGTTAAGCCTCACCACGTAGTTAGCCACGTCTGACTTTGGCATGCGTGTGTGGGCAGCAGTACAAGAAAATATGCTTTTGACAAATATGAGAAACGGCAGTTGGCGCAGTTATTATTTGGAATCATGTTAACCCATTCACTGTAAAGAGGGGGAAAAGGGATTATAGCATTTGCCAGCTTTGCTTAGTCCTTTCAGATTGAAAAGGGTTAATGGACTTCACAGACCCTGTGTAAATAATGTATATGAGCAGTAGAGACATAAAACACAGACACATTCATTTTCCTGGGAATGTGCATTTGTTTGTTTTTTATTTTGCAAAAAAAGTGTTTAAAAAAATGTAAAAAAAAACAAAACTAAAAACTAAAAAAAAAACCAAACCCCTGTGTTTCCATCCGCGTGGAAATGATCCTATATTTGGGGAAGGGTGGGGGCAATGTGATGGGTCTGGGTGCATTTTGTGTGATACCACAACATTGTTTCCACTCCTGTATAATACTCTGACCCTTTGTGAAGACAAATTACATCTTTTCTTTAGTTTTAATTATGTACATGTAATATTTTAGCTGACATGCATAGTCCTGTGTATTTTAAAGGTGCTACATGTAAAACACACAGAAACATACACACAATGAAGATAATAGTGGATTATGGGAAAAAAAAATCTAAAAAGATTGTAACCAAATTCTCTTTGTACAATTTTTGATATGATGATCAGATAGGGAAATTACAAAAATATGGTACAATCTGTAATAAAACATACAAAAGGGCCACTGTATTTTGTCTGTACATTGTATGTACAATTTAATCATTCATATTTGTATCCCCTTCACTGCCAGAGAGAAGTAGATTCGTGTCTGGCAGTGAAGGCATAAAATGTTCAAAAATAACGTAATTGTGCTTTTTAGTCTTGCAAAAATTGTATGTAGTTAGTTGTGTCCACCTTATATTTATCAAATAAATATGTACTCAGATCAAACTGTACACTGTGTTAAGTTTTCATTTTATAGTGAAAGAGTGATGGCTACACATGTTATACCGTGTTCATTATATATCGGTATAGCTTTTTTGCTTTAAGTTCTTTTCCGTTTGTTTTATACAATAAATCTGAAATGTCCAATCCAGCGAAGTGTGCAGTTGCTAATATGGTTTATTATTGTTTTTTTGTTGTTGAATGTATACAAATGTACAAAGGGGTAGTATTTTTCTTGAAATACATTACAAAGACACAGGATGGTATTCTGGAACGATGGGTTATGCAGCTGCCTTCAGGAGATTGGTCACATACAGGAGGAGCAATGTGAGTGGCATCCTGTACGAAGGCCTTCAGAAATGAAAGCCAAGTGGCATCGGAAAGAACTGCTGAGGCTGAGATATGACCCTTCATGCTGCTCAGGGCTGATCCAGACCAAAATGGAGAAAAGGCAGGATTCATCTAACAGAATACTTCCTGGAATGGAATTTCCCTGCACCATGTGAACTGGGCCTTCCAAGTGTGATGGTAGAACTTGCAAAAAGTAGATTTTCTAGCTTTTAGGAGCATAGGGATGTTCAAATCCAATAGGCTCTGTACCTCAGGATCTGGGCTTCAACAGCCAAGGCATACAGCCAGCTACTGAGGTGCGTAAACCATCCCCCTGTGAAGGATGGTCAGGGAGGGCCCATGAAGAGTCTACCAGGAGCTTGACTATACCCGAGTACTATCTCATCCTGGGCCAGTTCAGTGCCATGAATATCACTGCAATACACTCCATTTCAATTCTATAAATGGTGGGGTGGGGGGAGCATATATCCAATTGAACTGATCCCTTGTAGGCACCAGTGCATTCACTGCCAAGACCCAAGGAACCTTTGTTCTGATGACAAGTCTGTCCAGTTTGTTGTGGAACCTGAAAACCAGCACACCCGGGATCCTCCACCTGCGACAGAGCTTGAACACCTCTGGGTATAGTTACTATTCTCTGGAATCCAGACTTTGACAAATGAGGAAGTCCGCTTGGCAATTTTCTATGGCAGTCAGGGCCAAAACGTGACCTTGTGCCCAAGCCAGAACCTGGTCCACTTCTCTTTGAGCCGTGTGTCTTCTGGCTGTGGCACTGTCCGACTGAAGCCTAGGTAGGTGACGGTGCAGTCGAGATCCAGCATTAAAGAAATGACCATATCGCCCTGAGCTCCGGAATATTGATTGGGAGCAGAGCTACCTCTGACCAAATCCCCCACACTGAGAAGTCCTGACAGGCTAGCATTGACTGTCCCAGACTATAGGGTGGAAAGGATTTCCACAATTCCAATGCTGGAATGGAAATCCACCATGCCAGGGCAATCTAATCCTGCTGTTCAGGTGTATGGGGCAAGAGACCGAGCCTGCTTGTCCCACACTGCAGTGTGTTGAGTTGCAATGGTTCAGAGTAAAACTCCTCGGAGGAGGCCATCAGAGAGCCCAGAACCCAAGCAAAAGCGAATGGTTGGGCAGCTCTTAGACGGTAGGGTCCGAACATGCAGAGAATCTGGAATTTGTGCACGGCAAGAAGAGCATGGACAGGACCATATTAGTAGATTAGATGAGACTCACATGTGCCAAGCAATGAGTCAGAGCCAGTGTTGATTTCTGGAGATTTAGGATCCATTTGAATCTCTGCAGGGTCTGCCTTGTCTGTTGGATATTGGCTGGTAGAGTCTAAGCTAACTGCTCCCCTAACAGCAACCCCACATTGAGTTGCTACTCTCATAAGAGGCTTCCTTAACCCCTTCAAGGGCACCCCCTCCTTATCAAGAGAGGAATTTTCTGCCACAATGTATGAATTTATGAGGAAACTTCCAGCCCTATGAGAGCACTCGGACCGCAGGGGCCACAAGAAGGTGACCTCTTCACCCATCCTACCCAAGATTCCATCTCTAATTTACCTCTGGCTTCTTCAGCAGTGTCCGAAGAAGAGGATGAGGATCAGTTCTTGTACACTTTTACAGCCTGTATTCTATGGTGACTGTCCTCATCCTGAAAAGATCTTCGTTCCTCCCAAGCATTTTGCTCCGCACTATACTGTTAAAAAAGGATTCTTGAAGAGGTGGACCCAAACATTTCATGGTCCCTGTTGAGGACCATCCATTATTCAAGGACCCTGTAGATAAAAGGTTAGAATTATCTCTAATATCCCACATCTTTACTGAACTCCATCATCAACACACTCTCATCATTTCTGATACCCATTTCTAACCAGTGACACCCCCTACCATCAACACACCATTTCCTTATCCTTGAT